CTTCTGTGATTGAAGAGATTGACTGGTAATATTACCATATTATGGAGTTTTTGATCCATCCGAAGTTTGACCGAACAAAACTCCCTACTTGCCCCACTGCCCCTACTTACGCTGTCAACCAAGTAATTGTATCAAGGCCCACCGGGACTACCGTATCCGAGTCAGCCCAAAAGCTCGCTAATACGGTGGGCGCCGGATGAGCAACGTGGCCTTTAACCAACAGTGCATATCTAAGTACCTGCGTTGCAACGGTGCAGGTTGCGCACGACCAGCATGAGCACATGAGCACGCGGACATGGTACGGATGGCAGATATATAATAATATCGGTGATTGTAACTAACCATCTCTAAACGGAAGGTTATAGGCCCCTCCAACCCTGCAATTTATTTAGCTTGCGACAGATCAGTCTAGTGAGACCGCAGGGTAAGGCGCAATAGGTTAGGGTGCTGACATAATCTGACGTTTCCGAGAATCAATCGCGTGAAGGACACCTGTTCGCAGGAGCAACCCTATCACCTATTACACCTCCGCCTCGCACCCTCTTTTCCTTTCTACAATCCTCCAGCCATGGCGCAGATACGCGGCACAGCTGGCTACCATTTGGGAAACCAAAGCCCTTTTGGCAACTCCGGGCGCAACGACGACATGAACAACGACCCGAGTCCCCTCGACCAACTGAGGGCCCAGACAAGCAAACTCGAGGACATGCTGGACACTGTCGCCGATCCCATTAAGCCGTAAGTAAGGACTGGAGTACACGGGCTTGACAATCGTACCAGACACCGCTCTTGGTGCTGCTACACAAAAACGGCCCGTTCGGGAAACATGGGCTGACTTGCATCTTGCACAGTTACTTGCCAGCAATTGGCCGCTTCCTGATTGTCGTGACTTTCCTAGAGGATGCGCTACGCATAGTAACTCAATGGAGTGACCAGCTCACATACCTCCATGACTACCGACACAGTATGTCTCGATACTAAACCCCCCTCACAACACGTTGAGACGCATGGCTAACACTTGGCGCCACTCAGTCCCCAATGGTTTAACGCACATATTCCTCATTGTCAACGTCATCGCCATGACAGTCTGCTCCGTTGGTGTCATTGCCCGGAAATACTCCGAATACAGCGTGGGTGGACTCATGGGCGTGGTGGTTTTGCAGGGTCTCGGATACGGTCTCGTTTTCGACCTCAACTTCTTCCTCCGCAACCTGTCGGTTGTTGGTGGTCTTCTCATGGTTCTCTCCGACTCGTGGGTTCGCAAGAAGTTTGCTCCGGCTGGTCTCCCCCAGCTTGATGAGAAGGACAAGAAGATGTACTTCCAGCTCGCTGGACGTGTTCTTTTGATTTTCCTCTTTGTTGGCTTTGTTTTCCGCGGCGACTGGGGTCTCTGGCGAATCATTGCCAGCATTCTGGGATTCATTGCCTGCGTCATGGTTGTTGTTGGCTTCAAGGCCAAGTTCTCTGCCGTTGTGCTAGTGCTGATTCTCAGCGTCTTCAACCTCTACGTCAACAACTGGTGGACCCTGCACCCGCAGCACATTCACAAGGACTTTGCCAAGTACGACTTTTTCCAAATCCTCTCGATTGTGTAAGTACCACTATGCTACGTCTGATTCAATGCACATTGCTAACAAGCGGTAGCGGTGGTCTCCTTTTGCTGGTCAACATGGGCCCTGGACAGTTCTCTGTCGACGAGAAGAAGAAGGTTTACTAGGCTAGGAAAAAAACGACGCATCACGCATCACGACATGAGTTTTCGATTCGAACGCTGAACAGGGTACACTGGTTACATCCGATGACGAAGAATCATGGTGATTAGGTACTTAAATGCAGGCGGAGCAGCCTAGGAGCAGCCAAGATGAACGATTGAGGAAAGGGACAAGTTCATAGGTGCAACTTCCTGCCCAACAAAAATCCTTTGCGACACGGAAAATATGTAGACCAGGAGTAGTGCTCGGCGTTATACTTGCGATTGGGTTGATCGCACCCTGTTGAGGGGATATCTGTTTTAGAAGTTTACAAATGCATACAAGTTTCTGATGGTTTTGATTGAGCTTCTAGACTCTTTGACTTGATGCTGCACCCCTGAAGCCAAAACATCAGCGGACCCACAACGGAGTGGAGTGGTCCCGTGTCGGTGTGCCGGTGAACTCCGCTGTTTTGTTAGGCCACTTGGCAAGGCATTGCTTGAAAGAGGGGGGGGGGGGAAGACGGGTCCACTAGTTTATCTAATCAACGTCTACGTAAGTATATCCGGGGGGTGATTAGTTATCTGCGGCGAAACATTGCTTCAATTGCAACTCAATCCTTCCACACATACACACACACACTCTCTCTCTCTCGCCCTCGCTTCTCTCATTGGAACAATTCAAACCCCATCTAACTAACCTAAACAATGGCGCCCAACAAGATCATCATTGATACCGACCCCGTAAGTCGTTGTGTGTGTGTGTGTGACCATGGGACAAATGTTACGTGGGGGTTTTTTCCTTTACCTGGCTGGTTTTAATGCGGGGTAAAACCAAAAAAGGGGGGGGAGGGGGTTTATTGGACAAAAGTTATTACATGCTAATAGAGAGAGAGGAAACTAACTTTTTGTCATGATAGGGCGTCGACGATGTTCTCGCTATGCTTCTTGCGTTTTCGGCAAAGGCCGAGGAACTCGATGTTTTGATGCTGTCTTTGACGTTTGGAAACGTGCAGGTGCAAGAGTAAGTCTGGTTTTTTTTTTCAATTTTCAATTTTTTTTTAAAAATATTTCGAGTCCTGCAGTCTCTTTTTTTTTTGGTCTGTTTTGCATGGGATTAAAGAAAGATGAGGAAAATAATGGGTTGCTGATTTGGAAATCTTTATCCTAGTTGCTTGAGAAATGTGGTTACGCTTTTCCAGCAGATTGAGAAAGAGAGGGCGTGGCGTAAAGAACATGGTCGGCCAGAGGGGTTTGAGACGCTGAATGCGAGGAAACCTATCGGTGGGTTTGTTGAAGAGTGAGATGGAAGGTAGAAGGGTGGGTTAGTAGTGCTGACTTTCTGGAATAGTTGCCGTGGGGGCTGAAGAGCCGTTGGCTGAGCACATGATGGTTGCGGATTTCTTTCGTAGGTCTTTGAAGTATACTGACAATGTGGACATGTGAACAGCTGACTAAGTTTGGGTAGACGGTGTTGATGGGCTTGGAGGGATTCATCATAGTGCAAGTTCCTCTAGTCTTGCAGGCTCTTGGTGGTTGATTGAGTATTAACGAATGTTCAGCACCCGCATCTCTCACCGGCCGAGACATGGAAGACGCTTTTCAAACCTACGCCAGAGAACCTTTCACCAGAAGAAGCGGCAGAACTTCAGAAAGTCAAGGATCAGCATTCGCTTTTTACACCATCCCTCAAGCCTGCGCATAAGGTTATGCTAGACTTGCTCAGGGAGAATGAACCAGATACGGTTACCATAGTGGCTGTGGGACCATTGACGAACCTTTCTATTGCTGCGGCAGAGGATCCAGAGACGTTTCTCAGGGTTAAGGAGGTTGTCGTTATGGGCGGTGCTATCGATGCACCTGGAAATGTAAGATGTGATCATCTTCTTTTGCCATTCCCCCTTCACCCCACTTGTAACGGCTCTGAAGCTCTGAGTAGCGACCGCCGCCCCCTCTGCACCTTATCTATTCTCGTGCCACATTGTCAATCCCAGTCCCTCGCTTCAATCTGATCAAGCAACCAAACACTCTGTTGCGCCTCTCACTAAACCTGCGAAACCAGATGACACCCGGCGCGGAATTCAACACGTACGCCGATTCAGTAGCCAGTGCGCGCGTCTTCGCCCTCACGTCTCAAAACCCACACCTGACAATGCCGCCCACGCTTTCCAGCACGCACAAACAAGCCAAACTCGCCCCTTACCCAGCTCAGCTCAGCAAGCGCCTAACAATCAAGCTGTTTCCCCTCGACATAACAGAACAGCATCTCCTCCCCAAATCCATGTACGAAGACTACATTTCGCGCGAGGGCATAAAAGGCAGCCCCTTGGCCGAATGGACGCACCTCTTTCTCTCCGCCACCTTTGCCAAAAACGCCTCGCTGAACCCGCAGCACCAAGACGACGCAAAACAGAGTCTCCAGCTTCACGATCCACTAACCGTGTGGTACGCGCTCTGCGCCTCCAACCCCAACTGGAAATTCAAAGAGGAAGATGTGCGTGTTGAAACGAGCGGGCAGTGGACCCGCGGTTGCACGATTGTGGATCGCAGGGGCCGCACAATTACCGAGGGCATGGCGGATCTGAGTGAGGAGGTGGTGGGGGATGCGGGGGGCTGGAGAGACTCGCGCAGGGGCAATCGCGTCCAGTGGTGTAATAAGAGCCCTGGAGAGAGCAAGTTTGCGCGGGTGATTTTGCATCGGGTTTGGGGGGATGGAGAGCAGTGGTGAGAGAGAGAGATAAATGATTATGGCATCATGGTTGGATGAGAAGAGAAAAAAAAAAGGCTATTTTGAATGATTGATCACTCTCTCAGACATTCGTTTTTCCCTCTCTTGCGGTGGACTGAGAAAACAGTGCATTTGATCGGTGCTTATTTCTTTATGCCTTGCATTTCGCTCACTTGGAAAAAAAAACATGCATGTAATCTACCCGTCCAATTTTTTTTTTCTCTGTCCTTTCCTCTTTCCAACCTAACAAGAAACCACTTCACCTCCCCTTTTTTTCTCCTCCTCTCCAGCTCAACCAACCAACCCATACTCACGTAACACAAACCGGCCACAGCCCCACCACCACCACCACCACCGTCTGACCGTCCCCACTCGGAGAATATCCACCTCATCGGTATCCTTTCACCCTTCTTGTGTCTCCCCACCCCCCTCTCCACAGAAAAAAAAAACAAGATACATACCGTTCATCGTACAACAAACTCTGTACCACACATGTATATTCGCGCTTCCCCCGCCCTCTTTTGTTTTCTTTGTTCACCGTTGCACGGCATGCGTCTATGGTACCCATGACGATTCTTCTTTTCTTGGCCAAGTTGAGCGGGGGGATAAACATGAGGGTGTGTGTGTGTGTGTGTGTGTATGGGCTTGGGTGGGTAAGCTGAGAATGAGTCAAAGGAGGAGGGAAGAGGGGAGTGGGTTATGCGGTGTTATTCACGGATATGAATTTGGAATCTCATACGCTTTAATGCGAGAAAGAGAAGTTGGTGGTAAGCAGGCTTTGTTGTACGGTGCTGGCTGGCGGGCCAGTCGGAAGCAATGCCCATGTTACGTTCTTCTTTCTTTCTTGCACTTGGGTGCTTTGTCGGCATGGGAAGATATTCGGGTTCTTGGTGGTTGCTTTTGGATTTTTATTGCTTCTAATGGCTCACCGTCTAGACGAGACAATGGTTACATGTTGTTCTATTGCCAGCATTCGATCGAATACAAAGTTAGCTCGGCTTAGCTCAACTCTAATTAGCTCAGCTCTCCATGGCGTGAGTGCCGAAACTACAGAAAGTCGCATCAACAAATCACGCCATGTTCTGACATGTCCGGAAAACAAACTTGGTAAATTGGTAATACGATGTACGTTTTGAATCTCCACGTCAAAAACTTCAATTACGACACCCTTCATTCATGTCGTAAGTGGTGTCGTTTAAAAAAAAACACTCCTTCATCAAGCAAGCAATAAAAACGGATTAGAGGCAATTATCCCCCCCACATGTGGGAAGATGCCGAGAAGAGGAAGAGAAACAGGACACGATCGAGCTGAACCGGGTATATCTTGTGATGCCTGCCCCAAAATGCTGTAGAATCCACCAGCTCCGTACGCAGGGTCGATGCAAAGAAAAAAAAAGTGAATGTACGTAAAAGAGGGCGGACTGTATTGAAAGTATAATCATAAACGATAGCAAGTCATGCTGGGTAAGCATGGGGGAGGAAAGCAACGCCCGCTTCCGAAATGCAAGAATGAAAAACCAAATTCTCCAGTTGGTAGTACAAAAGTACGGGGCTGAGAGTGTTTGTGTTTTTGAAGTGTGCCTCATAACTTTCAGACTACACCAGATGATGGTCATTGTGGAAAGCCTCCCGGCTGATGGCCCGAGGGCATTCGTGAGGCAGTCCATGAGAACATGGCCATGTCGCAAATGCGTGCAAGAACCTGCTGACTTGCTGCACGGCTCTCGTGACTAATAAAAGACATGGCTACAAGAAGCTTATTCAAGTCGCTTTCCGGAGCTTGGTTCACAGGGGCTGGTAAGGCATTGGGGAAACCACCAATTCGGCTGCCATAGTGACGCGCAATGGCAATCGAGTAGATTGCGTCTCGCACTTCGTGCATGCGCAACACACTGCGTATTACAGCAAGAGCGTTATCAGCAGCTCCGGGAGGCGCAGTGTCCGAGTCCGAGTATTGCACAAAATCACCCAAGTGCATCCAGAAGTCTACTTGCATCCTAGTTTCTTCATCGAGGTTGGCAGGGTAAGTGAGTTCGCGCAGAGGGTTGGGCGCAAGGTTCTGATTGGTCAAAAGAGCCTCGAGAACGTCGAAGCGGGCTCGCGCTTCTCGTAATGAGAAGTCGTCGGTTTCCGAGGCTGCACCGTTGGTCGCTGGTGGGTTGTGTTTACAAGTACCTAGCAGGTGCCAGAGCAGACGGGCTTCCTGACTAAAGACGCCAGTCATGTCTGTGTCAGATGCCTTGTACTTGATGGTCTCGGTAAAGTAGGCGGCCTCTTCGTGCAGCGAGCGGTCGCTGAAGACTCTGTTGAGCGCATTGTTGTCTGTAGAGAACCATGTGGTCTCGAGAACAAGGTCCAGTCCCTGGCAGTAGTCGTTGATGAAGATGCGACTGAACTCGTCGTCAATCTCACGCGGCACAGGCGAGGTGCGAGGGGGGACTTCTGGAGGGCTATGGTTACATATGCCAAAGATGTCGGTAATGTGCAGGCGCTTGCCTGGGCTGGGTGTCAGTATCAATCCATTAGCAGAGAAACGAGGGAGTCGACCGACCTTTGAGCGGCTCTGGGGGAGGCGGGTAGGCGTTGGGGCCAGGAGGACCCCTCATGGCAGGATCCATAGCGTGACCGGCGTTGTAGTGCTGGGTCGACTGCAGGGCAGGGTCTGCCTGGGCAAGTGCAGGGTCTATGGCGTGGAAGCTGGCTGGCTGGTGTTCCCCGCTCGTCGCAGGTGCGGCGCTTGCGTAGCCGGCCGAAGAGGCAGGCGCGTAGCCTTGGGGCACGGGGCTCTGGCTGTACGCTGAAGCTGGCGGTACAGGCGCGGAGGGTGCGTTTGGTGCTTGAGAGGCAGGCGCAGCGTTGGGGGCAGGTTGTATCTGAGCCGGGCCAGACTGCTGCTTGAATATCGGATCGTAGCCAAGACACTCACGCTTACTTTTTTGGCAGTTCCTACACATGGGATGCGCTTCGTCGCACTATCCGAGTCTTGATTAGCACATGTGCAGGTCAAAAGTTGATGTTGGCAGGGCGGGCGGTAGGGGGAAGGAACACGAAAAAAAATTGTCGCAATAGGCGCAAAACAAGTCCCGCACCGCAAACGACGCACACACTGCGACAATGGAGCAGTGTGCGCGCTACGTTTGCAATGGTTTGCTGCAGACCACGGCGGTTCTCGCTTTACGACGCGCGAGGGCCGGGTTTAGAGCAGTTTGGGTTTCTCGCTCGGTTAAGCAAGCGACATGGCAATAGCTCCTCTTCTGACCTCGCGTCGCGTCGACTATCGCGTACCATTGACGTTTGTTCTCACTTACCTTGATTCTTCGTTTGCGACAGGTCAGACAACCCGTCTTTGTGCGGCGCTTGATCTCCTTCTTATGGCGACCTCCCGAGAGCACTCGCTGGTCACCTTGGGGCGGCAGCTGGTATCGCATGGCATTGAATTGAGGGCCCATGTTGGCCATCATGGGCTGTCCGGGCTGCGCATGAGCTGGGTGCGGATAGTACTGGGGCATGGCGTGAGGTGGTGGTGGTGGGAGTGGCGAGCCCATGGGCTGCTGGGCTGGTTGAGGTTGCGCCTGCGGTTGCTGGCCGTCCTGCAGACGGATTGGCGGCAGGTTGAGGGGCGGCAACGACATGTTTGAGCTTTGGGGAGAACCGCGGTAGGCCTCGGTGGTTTGCTGGCCCTGGGGCGGCGGGTAGGTGTAGGTGGGCTGCATCGAGGGCGACGGGTATGAGTGCGGTGAGGGATAGGCGACGGTCTGCTGTCGCGACTGCTGCTGCACATTGGGATCGGCCATGCTTTGGTGGGAAAAGTGCGATGACGCGGGCGAGTATGGCGCTGCGTTGATCTGGGATGAAAAGTCGTGCGACATGGGCTAGCAATGGACAAGGCTGCCTGGGCGCAACAACAGACAGACACGAGCACAACTCACGTCGGCGGTTGAGTTTGAGGGCACGCAGGCGCTAGAAAGCTTGAGGCAAACGCAGATGGAAGAGGGACGGCAAGCCAGACAAGGAACTGGGATTAGCTGAGTTGGCGAGGGCGTTTTGACCCGCTGGCAGGGGCCTGGCCGCTCGGTTCGAGGACGGCGGGCTGGCGCACTGGTAGACTGCGCGCTGGGACGGCGGCGGGCAGGATTGAGCGACAGGACGACTGCGGCATAGATTAACGCGTTGGCGAGTGACTTTGCAGGCAGCCAGCAAGAGCCGGCTAGAGGCGACTAGGGGGGGTGGTGGTGTGTGTGCAGCAGACAGGGTGGGCCAGGGAATAGTATGCGTAGACTAGGCACAAGACTCGGTCAAGAGGCGCCCGGCGGAGCGAGGGGGGCTTGTGCGCCGACGGAGAGCGACGATGACAGCGACGACAGAGGCGAGCCCAAGACGACAGCCAAAGCGACCGCTTGCGCTCCCAGCAGCTTGCCCGAGAAGGGTCGGAGGGCGGCGAAGGGGGGCTAGCCGGCTTTAGAAGGTAGCGGAGGGCGGCGGCGCGTGTGGCAGGGCACAGCGGCTTGGGAGGAGCGGATGGGCGAGGGAACGGGGGGCGTCTTGGGACTTCCAGGCGAAGCGAGGGCTCGCTTGAGCGGAAGGTAGCGAGCAGGGCTGCGGGCGGTGCTAGGCTGGCTGTAAGCAGTGTACTGCTGAGCGAGAGCGTGCCGGGCGCGCAGTGCTCGTGTCGGGTGCGGTCGACGCCTGCATGCACACAAGCAGCACAGCTGGCAATTGGCGGGCATGCAAATGCCGCGCCAGGACCCGGGAAATAAAGTCGACTGGGCTGCTGGCCGCCGAATGAAAAGCAGCAGCCGGTGGAGCAGCGCAGCCTCGACACCGCTCTCGCCACGAAAGAAACGAATGCGGCGGCGATGCGCTAGCCTGCTTCCGGCGGGTCACGTGCCGCGCCCGACAAGTCCCACCGGCTGCCGCCCGCCTCGCTGCCGCGCCTGGGTCGTGTCGTGGGCTGGCGCTGGCGCTGTCGCTGCATCCACATGCATCCATCTGCTGGCCACCCGCATGGGCATATTGGGCCATTGAGCCTGATTGCCCATTGCCCGATCCATCCACACGCCCCTGCCTCTGCCACACTCGCTTGCGTCCCGCCGCGCGCAGACGGCATGCTCGCTGTACAGAGTCCCAAGGCCGGATTCGTGCTACTTTTAGAGGGCGGCCTGCCCATGCGCCATGGCTGCACCCTACACACGCTCGAGGGCCACAGCTAGCCGGCCATGGCCATGGCCTACTCGATCCGACTTACTGTGCTTGCCTGCCTCGAGCACTGCTTTCGACGGGAGCGCCCTCGCCGTGCCCATGCGCCGGCCTCCCGAGACATGACGTAGCCACCCTAGCGACGAGCGGTGCGCTGGCTGCCTGGCCCGGCCTCGCCATTGGCCGCAGCCGGCTCGCACTGGTCCACTGCATGGCCGGCCCGCTTTCCCTTCTCAGTGGCGCCCCCGTCATCATCGCCCGCAAAGAGGGTGCTGACAGACCGTCTGGTGCTTCAATGGTCAATCTCGACACATTTATCCGCAACGTCTCATAGCCCCCGCTGCCAGCCTGCCGTGACGCTGCGCCAGAAGACAGTCGGTGCTATCCCTCAGACTATCGGCGGGTAAAATCACCATACCCAGCGGCTGAGTCGTGGCCGGACGCCAGACTGTGTGACCAACCTGTAGCTGCTGCATCAACTCGAACCTCTCATCATCAACACGTGTCAAGATTTCTGCTCGACACTTTGGCCAGCCCCCCCAGCTCCAGCAAAGAGGCCGCTGCCCTTAGCCCTTTGGTAGCACCGCAACATGCTGCGTTGCACAGCAAAAAGACCCTGCCTGCCCTTAGGGCTGACCATGCGCGCGCGCAAACGGCTGCCGTAATTGTGTCCAAGGTCCGGTGCACCCACAACGAGACAAAGGATCGCAGCCCTTCCCCCCTCCCTCATCTCTCCTGCTCTCGCCCCTGTCCCACAACAGCCGCCCAAAGCCCTTTCGTAGATTAGGCAGGCCGTCGTAGCTGTCACAAACAAGAGCGCCGTGACACGAACGACAGGCAATTGAGACCATTACTAACAAGATCTCGTTTATCGCATTATAGCCAAAGCGAGGTCAGGGATACCCCTACTACCATCCCAAAAGCATCGAACGTTTCTCGAATAAAGTTGTGCGCCAACCGAGCGCGAGCTTTGCGCATCATCCTTCCGCCCCGTGCGCTCGGGCAAGCCCTTGGGTCGCAATGAACTGCTGATGAACGACTCAGCTCCCAAGAAAACCTATCTCGGCTCCAGGCCACTGGTTATCTCATGCGCGTCCACCGCCTTTGTCCCTCCCTGCACAATGACAACAAGCAAAACAAAACAAAAAAAATCATAGTAATCACAGCCAAACTCTATCCTCCTATTTGCGCTAATAAACTCTGCATCAATCACTGCATTCACACTACATGCTTGATTAGCCGCTTTCCTCTTTTGGTTTTGGGCTGCCCAAGCCCGTATCTGCACCACTTTCTGCCTGCCTTGTCTGGCCTACCTGCATCACAGAGACCCTGAATCTGTTCACGCTACGGCCCTCGCGAACGCACTGGACTGGACTGGTCCTTTTTTTAAGCTTCACACCCGACTGTCAAGCGAGCGACGCGTTACTATTCATAATAATCCTAAAAAAAAAATCCGGTAATAAGGGAGCATACTATCCTTCGGGATTGGTGTGTTTAGCATGCCACTTTGCGAATACTATACACTTCTCCGTCTCTCACACGTCTTGTCTCACACACTCTCACTCTTGCAATAAAAGTATTCTGATTGCGAACCCGCATCTCTAAACATATCATGCAAAGCCACATGCACCAGGCCGTCAAGGTGCAACCCCTGCAAAAACACACAATACAACAACTTGACTGTTATTGACGATAAAAACTAAAATCTTCTTTATGCCTTTTCGAACCTTGCCCAAATTTCAAGACGAATGAAAAAAAAATGGTTCATTCCCTACGTCCTTGCACTCGAAAAAAAAGGGGGGGGGGAAAGGTAGGCAAAGAGAGGCAAAACAAAAACGCCTCAAGATGCACAAACGTATCCTGCTGAAAATGCAAAATGACAATGGAAAATACATATACATACTACACAGCCCATCACCATCATCAATCACTCAGCCTTTGGCTTCTTATTCGGCAGCGCAGGTACCTTGAAGCCTCCCGCATCCACCTTGGAGCTGGCATTAAGCTGCGTAAACGAACCACCCTTGAACCACCGATCGTCGTCTGCCTTTCTCTTGCGCTGCATCTCCTCGCGTGCCTTGGGGTCCACAAGCTCCAACCCTTGCACCGGGGTAAATGCAATCGAGCTCGTTCCCGCGCCACCCAGGCCCACGCCACCAGTCCGCAAGCCCTGGGCCCGCAGACTCGTCGCTGTGCCGCCTGCCCCAAACCCCTTGAGCGATGATGCCATGCCCAGCGTCGTGTCTCCGCCCCAACCAGGGTTCTTTTTGCTGAGTTTGGCGCGCGTCTTGGGGTCGATCTGCTGTGCACGCAGTCGTCCCGTATCAGTAGCGCCAATCATGCCCATGCCCTTGACCGAGTCTCCATAGCCTACCTCCTTCTCTTCCTTGCCAAACGTCATCCTGTTTTGCGCTTTACGGATTTCCGTCATGGCAGTTGCTTCCTTGGCCTTTCTCGCTCGTCTTCCACCACGCTTGCGCGACGGCTTTTCGTCCGGCACAGGAAGCGCTCTCTGACCCTTTTGGTTTGCAGGCAGCTCCGTCAGCTTGTCTAGCCGGCGTTCGCATTCTCTCCTCAGATCCATGCCAATGTCTGCATTGCGCGAGCTCGAGTGGGCGTCTACGCGCGCAGCCAGTATCACCTTGGCCGACACAATGCGCAGCGCCTGTTTTCGAAGATCAGGCCTCTGATTCTGGATAATCTCGCTGTGATAGAGGTAGCCTTCGTGTCTCAAGCCGATGTTGGAAAGACCGACAGTGGCGCCTGACACTTTGGTCGAACCCAGAGGCGCAATGTTGCAGGCAGGTGTCTTGGCTAGATTGGAGATACCTCCAGAGTAGGATATAAGATGTGCAGCCGTCAAGGATCCAATAAGCGCTGTCAGGTTGGGGCAAAATACTTCAGTTCGCGACTCGACGAAGCCCAAAATCTTCGACTTTGCCGCGTTCAGCTCAAGGAGCAGATGGCAGGCATTTCGTATCAAGCTTAGCTCAGCCTCGTCAAGAAGTCTTCCTTCGACCCGTGTGGCCTCGATCTCGACAATCATGACTTGGGCAGGCTCGAGTCCCTCGATCGCCTTCAGTTGTGGCGTAATGGTCTTGATATCCTTCAAAGGCCCGCCGCCAATGACTAAACATGCTCTCGCGTACACAACGGGATTTTTAATTAGGTCCTCCAAATGCGGGAAGAAGGCCGAATAGTGATCTCGGATAAACTTGTGAACCGCAGCGATTTCGCCATCAATCTGAGTGGAGAATTCGTTGGCTTCGGTGAGGAGCTTGTACTCCGGCGAGTCTTCAAAAGATTCGCCATCCACTACGTCCATCTGATCCTTGGTTTCCTCGATGCGTGCAAGCACCGATTCCAGATTTGCTTTGAGTTGCTGAGCCGACCGTATGTCTGCAGGTCCCTTGTTGTCCTTTTTCTCCTTGGCCCTGTACTCCGCCTCCTCATCTACCATGTCATCATCGGACCCGTTGTCTCCCTCGGCAAAGTCATTCTCCAAGTCCTGAATGTCTTCGTCTCCGCTGTCGGCGAAGTCGGCCAGAAGTTCTTGCTCCAGGGTAGCCATGGTGCTTGGTGTGATGTAGAGGGCTCAGTGGTCGAGATTGGAGAAGAACGGGCGCAAGATGGAGGCAGTCGCGACGGCGGCCGGAGGTTACCCTCCTAGTAAAGTTTGGTTGAGTGCTGGATTCGGTAGCGCGCAGTATTATACGTACCTGTCGCCTTGTATTGGCCGCCGGTCGAGTGGAGTATGGGCAAGGCAAAGTGAAGTGTCGTGGGTGATGGAGGAACTGCAAATGGCAGTGACGTGAAACTGAGGATGCTAGTTGCTTGGCGTGGCGCGGCCAAAAGTTGCGCGAAGCAGTCGCGTTCTTAACTTTTGCAAGGCCTGGCAAAAGGGCCAATCGCTGTGCAACACCGCTTTTCACACGCACTACTCCGGTCGCCGTCGCTCAGCCTACGAGTCGTGGTAACACTGTGCGCGTTTCCACGCTGGCCTGCTGGCCATTTGATCCGAGCGTCTCCAACTTTCTTACTACCCAACCTTCCCCAGTCGCAACCACTTTCGCATCCACATACGACGCGCGTGGCGTCTTTCCTCACCACCTCATTCGCCCCCATCGAATTACCTTGTACATACGAAAACGTCACATCCCATCCTTCATCATGGAGGCTTCACGAGGACCGCCACGGGTCAAGAACAAGGCCGCCGCTCCTATCCAGATCTCTGCAGAACAGCTTCTGCGCGAAGCCGTCGACCGTCAAGATGAGAAGCTCAAGGCGCCCACGCAGCGCTTTGCTGATATGGAGGAGCTGCATGAATTCCAGGGCAGGAAAAGAAAAGAGTTTGAAGACTATGTGCGCCGAAATCGTATCAACATGAACAACTGGATGCGCTATGCTGCCTGGGAGCTGGAACAGAAGGAGTTCAGGCGCGCGCGATCCATCTTCGAGCGAGCCCTCGATGTTGATTCGACGTCTGTTGCGCTATGGCTTCGCTATATCGACTCTGAAATGAAGCATCGAAACATTCAGCACGCACGCAACCTCCTTGACCGTGCTGTTACCATCCTTCCACGAGTCGACAAGATATGGTACAAGTACGTCTATATGGAGGAGACCCTTGGCAACATTGATGGTGCTCGGTCAGTCTTTGAACGCTGGATGCAGTGGGAACCGGATGAGGCGGCCTGGAGTTCGTACATTAAGCTGGAAAAGAGACATGGCGAATTTGAGAGATGCCGTGCCATTTTCGAAAGGTTTACCGTCGTCCATCCAGAACCTAAGAATGCAAGTCTGCCCTCCAAATCCTGTGGTTTAACAACTAACATTGCGCAGTGGATCAAATGGGCTAAGTTCGAGGAGGAGCATGGTACGAGCGACCTCGTGCGCGACGTTTATGGTACTGCTGTCACCACACTCGGCGATGAGTTCATGGACGAGAAGCTCTTCATGGCATACGCCAAGTTTGAAGCGAGGCTGAAGGAATTGGAAAGAGCCAGGGCCATCTACAAGTTTGCCCTCGATCGCATGCCCCGGTCGAAATCAGTCAATCTACACAAGGCCTTTACAACTTTCGAGAAGCAATACGGAGACCGAGATGGCATTGAGGACGTCGTCTTGTCGAAACGGCGAGTACACTACGAAGAACAGATCAAGGAGAATTCCAAGAACTACGATGCATGGATTGATTTTGCAAGGCTGGAAGAGACGTCTGGCAACCAGGATCGAGTTCGCGACATTTACGAGCGAGCGATTGCACAAATACCACCGACACAAGAGAAGCGACACTGGAGACGGTACATCTACCTCTGGCTGTTCTACGCCGTCTATGAAGAGACTGTTTCACAGGACATTGAACGAACACGCCAAATATACCAGGAGTGCATCCGCTTACTGCCACACAAGCGCTTCACCTTTGCAAAGGTCTGGCTAATGTTTGCCCACTTCGAGGTAAGGCAAGGCCAGCTTACCACTGCACGCAAGCTCCTAGGCCAGAGCTTGGGCATGTGCCCGAAAGACAAGCTCTTCAAAGGATACATTGAGCTTGAAATGAAGCTCTTTGAGTTCAACCGCTGCCGGCAGCTCTACACCAAGTATATTGAATGGAACGGGTCGAACTGCCAGACCTGGATCAAGTTTGCTGAACTGGAGCGAGGTCTGGACGACCTCGATCGTGCGCGAGCCATCTTTGAGCTTGCTGTCGAGGAGCAACAACTGGACATGCCCGAGCTTCTCTGGAAAGCTTACATTGACTTTGAAGAAGGCGAGGGTGAGTATGATCGCACGCGTGCGCTATACGAGCGTCTTCTGCAAAAGACGGACCATGTCAAGGTATGGACTTCATGGGCACAATTCGAACTCGGGGTTCCCGACGAGTCAGCGCCAGAAGACGACGAAACCATCAGCGACGCTGCCAAGGCTCGTGCCCGTGAAATCTTCAAGCGTGCACACACGCGCCTCAAGGAGCGCGATCTCAAAGAAGACCGTGTGGCTCTACTTAGCGCCTGGAAGTCATTTGAAGACGTCCACGGTAGTCCAGAGGACAAGGAGAAGATTGAGAAGCAAATGCCACGCAAGGTCAAGAAGAGGAGAAAGCTGGATGACGACAGCTTTGAAGAGTATGTGGACTATGTGTTCCCTGCAGATGATGAGAGTGCAGCGAATTTGGCAAAACTCCTGGCCAACGCACAGAAATGGAAGATGGCAAAGGCTGCGCAGGCTGCAAGCAAGGAAAGCGAGGAGAGCACAAACGGAAATGGCGAGTAGACCAGACATGTCTTGTAATAGTAGCGTGCATGTAGAAAAATACCGTTTTGCGCAGGCAATTGAAGTTGTTGTAGTATCCGGACCGAGTCATGTAAGCAAATACCATGCGTTGGAGCTGAACGTAGTGTACTCTCGCCTGTGCTCGATAAAGTTACTACCAAGCGTTGGCGAGCGGCACCATGCGCCTCTCGACAACCGACAGTGTCGCGTACCCCGAAACCATGCTCGTATTGCCTAGGTACCTCGGCATCTTCCCCGGATTCCTCTAACTCCGCGTCCAACTCCGCAACCTCGTCACCATCCCTACAGCTCTGACTTTGCGACGTTGAACACCCACAACCCTTGCTACCCTATCCAAATAGCCTCCCCGTCTTTTTTTTGTCTGATTACATACACAATGCCGGATACTATGGCAAAGGTTAAGCAGGAGGGTGTGAGTAAGGAGCTCTCCGAGCCCATACCCGAGTCCGGGTCGTTTGAGGGTATGCGCGGGATTAGGAGTGTAGCTGGTGACTTGGGAGACCAGTGAGTATGAGAGGAGACGTACCATGGCAGGCATCTGAGATGAACTGACTTTCGCTGTAGACGGGTCAAAGGCAAGGTCATCATTGTTACTGGTACGCACAGCCATCATCACTGCCGTATTTCACGTCTAACATTACTCCAGGTGCAAACTCTGAAATCGGTATCGGCCGCGCCAGTGCGCATCAGTTCGCCCGCAATGGCGCCCGCGCAATCTACATTTGCGACTTTGCCGACTCTCATCTCGAGAAGCACAAGCGCCAACTCAACGTGCTGTATCCCTCAACAGATGTTCATATTCGCCAGTTCGACGCCGCGGATGAGGCGGCCGTCAAAAAGGTCTGCCAAGATGCGTTGGATGCCTATGGCCGTCTTGATGTCTTCTTCGCCAATGCAGGAATAGCGTCTGGCAGAGTATTCTGGGAGGAAACCACCGAAGGCTTCATGAACATGATGCGCACAAACACCTTGTCCGTCTTCTTGGCAGCCAAGTATGCCTCTCGCGCAATGCTCAAGACCTCGGACCAAAAGCCATACCCCAGCGGTAGCATCATCGCCACTGCAAGCGTAGCAGGTCTGCGCTCGAATGCCGGCCCCACCGACTATGCCGCCTCCAAGGCTGCAGTCATCAGCCTGATGCAGACCTGCGCCTACCAACTTACCGGGTCGGGTATCCGCTGCAACGCTCTCTGCCCTGGGATAATTGAAACCGGTATGACCAAGGTTACGTACGATGCGGCGAGGAAGAGGGGAACCGAGAAGAAGATTGGGCAGCTGAACCCGCTGCGGAGAGGAGGACAGCCGGATGAGATTGCGCGGGCTGTATTGTTCCTAGCAAGCGATGAAGCAAGCTATGTCAATGCGCAGGCCTGGGCTGTGGATGGTGGCTTGAGCGGGGGTCTGCCTTTTGTGCCAGGGAAATTGGCATAAACTGCACTTGTGTGCCTGTCATTCTCCATTGTCCCAGGATGCGTTTTCTGATAATTGTCGCAGAGCTTTGGTTCCACGGCATAAAATGTTGCCATGTCAATCATATCAATACAATGTCATGGCCTGCTTATGTGGTGTGTTTCCTTTGTGTTTATGATGCATTGGTTTGGTATGGAAGGCTCTAGACTCATGAAGCCAGCACTCGAGACTCGTCCGATACCAGTTTGAGATGCAGTGTACCATGGCGTAATGCAGGTACTGAAAACATTTCTACATTGACCGCGGCTGCGTAGTTTGTACAAGATGCTTGCTCTACCTGAAACTCGACAAGCCTACATGACCCTTTTTTTTTGCCATATAACTCTTCACGCAAACCGGATCTCCAATTCCATAAACCCAATTGCAACCCTGAACCAAATCTCAGTTTTTTTAACCCCGAACATGACACAAACTGCCACCAGCAAGCTTCCAATCCCAACACTCTATCTCCTGGGCTTCGATTGCTATCCAGACGACAGAGAGTACTTTGAAGCGCGGCGTGCAACCGGAAGCGCGACGCCCTACTGGTTCAAAACAAAACTTGTATATGAAGATATTGCCGCAAGCCCGTTTACGCGGACGGTAGTCGCAGGGGCGCCGAAGAGCAGTATGGAGGGTACACACGAGTATGGCAAAGACAGTAAGACAGTAAAGGTGGAGGAGCGGGAAACGACAGGAGATGATGAAGCAAGAGAAGAAACCAATATACTGCATACCAAAAAAACGAACGAGAAGGAGCAACGCGTCAAACGACCGCCCAAGTCACCCCGTAGGAAGATTATCACAATACCGCTACCCAAACGCCGCGTCGTATTCGCCTGGGCCCCAAGGAAACACCAAAGACCTCATGCATCACTCTCCCATCGAGCCCCGACCCCCTTTCTCCGCCGGCGAACCAGAAAACCCAAGCACGTCGTTAAACAACAGGATTATGCAGACCAGCGTCCACTCCTCGACATGACGCCGCCGCCATTCCTCCACCTCAACTACGATACAAGACTCGACACCTATCCAGTACCTCTGCCCCAGCCCCCAGCCCGTCTCGAACACCAGACAAACAGAAGTAGTGCTGTACGACCCTCTCTGCCTGCGTTTTTTTCTTGGAGGTAGCTGATATGTGATCCAGAATCTTGCCGGAGAAGACGACAGGTGTAGGGTACAGGGGGCAAGGGGGAATTGGAGGAAGGGGTTATGGTGTTGTTTAGGGAGAAGGATGGTGTAGATGTGGAAAGGGGATTACAAGGATACTACTATCGTGTTTTCTTTTCTTGCGTGAAAGTTGAAATGCAACTTTTTAAAAAAAGAAATTCTATTCTCAACATGTCCCTTATATTTTTCTCTGCATAACTATCCAAAATCAATCAAAAATCAAGAAAAAGAAAATAGTACCCTGGCAACGTGGAGTTGAAGAACAGCATAGCAAAAAAAAAAAAA